TGCGAAGAACCCTATTCTGTACTTAATGCGACTTAGATATAGTATTTTTCTGACCTCTTCAATTAAAAACCGTCAACATCATTTCTGTTTTGCCCCCATTAAGCTACCTTGTACCCAATTCTCGTGTGAGCAGCTCTAAGGTAGGGCATGATTCGGTCATTTTCCTTCTTCTTAGAGTCAACTAATTTCACCTCTTCACAAAAGGTTCTTTGTGGGATACTTCAGAGACCTTGACAAGTGATTTCATCGCCCGCTAGCCCCCCCCCCTGGCTTCTTTGCTTTGATTATCTTATTCCAAAGAAATAATTTGATCTCATAATACACACCGCTCATTGACAAGGCACATTCTCATGTCTGTTCGACTTACTTTTAACCATTTTCCCTCTCCTTTGGTACCGGTGAGTGTAGCGAGAGGAAATAATTTTCGCATTCGGTCAGCTAGAAGTAGAGTGGCTTGGAAGAGGGTCAGGTCATGGGCACTGAGAGTGTCCTTTTTAGAGTCGATCCAGATACGTATTGGTCTTCCTCCCATCCTCCATCCAGAGTATTGACTGTTAAAGGCTCACAAATCTTTTTTTTTCAGGGAGCATTCTTGAGAGGAGGCCAAAAACTTATAACTCTGTGTTGTTCATTTTCTTACGATGTCTGAACCCTTCGTTTCTTTTCAGGTCACTCCTCGGAAAGATTATCTCGCAGGAGGTCAGTTTTCTCTTCTGTGTCTTTGTTGAAGACCAAGCCTGACACCTGGTAAGTTAATGCTGGTATATAAAATTAAATAAAGGATTTCAGTTTGACTTTTATTTTCCCCCTACGGTTCTAAACGATTACTACATTTCCGTCGCGGTCAATATCTGTGGATTGTTTCAATCATTTGTCACTTGGTGCTTAATTCCTGCTACAACAATTAGTAGTATTGTTCATGCTACTGGTGTTGTTGCCGTTGATGCCGCAACTATTGGTGTTGCTCTTGTTGGGCTTTGTGTACTTACAAAATTAAATACGTAGCTGATTTGCAGGACAGTTTTTCCTTACAGTTTAAATAATAAGCATTCGAACTTTTGATACTTAACATTATTTGACAATGGCTTTATTGCCCCGAAGAAAAAAAACTTGTTTGGAGCCAGTCAATAATAAGCTTCGTTTTCTCTTTGTATAGCTCTATTTTTTATATCAGTAGATTCATGTTCAGTACAATATTATGTATGACTATGTATCCATTAATGTATTTCGCGAATTGCATTGTGTATTATTTATTTATTATGTATTTGTATGTGCTCACTACGTAACGATGTGTAAGTGTGCCCGTGTGATAAGCAAGTAGATGTGTGTGTGTGTGTGTGTGTGTGTGTGTGTGTGTGTGTGTGTGTGTGTGTGTGTGTGAGTGCGTGCATGCGTGTAATGTGTGCGTGAGTGTGTGTGTGTGTGTGTGTGTGTGTGTGTTTTTGTTTGTGTTTGTGTGTGTGCATGTGTGCGTGAATATTGTTCGTACATGCATTCATGTATAGCGCTTAGAGCTGTTTTTACACGGGAGTTGGCGCTATAGAAATGATCTCCATTATTTCTTTCTTTTAAATTTAAAACTGATTAACTGCATACACCCTCCCACAGGGGCAATGAGAAAAAAAAGCTTATACGGACAAAATTTGGCCTCCAGCCGACCAGAGGTCAATCGTGAGACTGGTTTGTTACTTCAAGAAACGATCAAACGACGTGCAAACATATCACACAAGCACACACAGAGAAACCATATCTACTTTGTGGAAGCCCTGCCAACATATTTGGTTCTTTTTTTTTCAAGTAAAGTTCACTGCACAGGATTTACTGTTTTCTTAAACATAATATTGATCACTGACAACTTCTAGGAAAGGAACCTGACAGTTTAAAATGAAAGAGCTTAAGTTTACAAAGGTGAAAAATACTCCTAATTTAAAGCATATTTAAGAATAATAATAATAGATAGCATTTGTATAGCGCATACCCCGCTCAACAGCAGGCTCTATGCGCTTTACACTATATTATTACCCCAGCAGACTATAGAACACTCCGAAACATTCTCAGCTTCCCGGGAAGCATACAGTGCAAACAGCTGATTAAGCGCTCAAACACTAACAAACTGACTAAATCGCTCGCTGTCTATAGCCGGGTATCCATTCCCACCTGGGTGAAGTGAGGAAAATTCGTGTAAAGTGCCTTTCCCAAGGACACAACGTCGGGCCCCTGACGGGATTCGAACCCATGACTTTACGGTTGTGAGTAAGAGAGCCTAACCACTAGGCCACCGACGCCACATTTACCAATGTAAATAATAATAAGTGAAGTGGCAAGACGGCTTGCTGTGAGTCACTCAGTGATCATCATACTGAGAAACCGGATTGTTACAAATGGAACTGATGTTGAGCGAAGACGGTCCTGAAGGTCACGTTGCACACACAGCGAGAGGGCCGGGAGATCGTCAGAACAGCCCTGGCAACTTGAACCTGAATAGCCCATCACATCAGACAGCAAGTGCTACCCGCAGGCAACGTTGGAATCAGCGACCAGACTATTGGAAACCGACTGCGTGAGATTGGTCTACGCTCCTGTCGACCAGCAGTCCGGGTTCCACTGACACAGGCCCACCAGATTGCCCGCAGAACCTGATCCGCCCATAACCTGAGGTGGACTCATCCGAAGTGGTCTATTGTGCTCTTCACGGATGAGTGCAGGATTCAACCTCCGGAACCCTCTGCATCGCATTCAAGGCAATCTGAAGGGTATTTGGTACAAGGACGAGATTCTCCGCTCCTTTGCAATTCCAGCTCTTCGGGGAATGGACCAGGGCGTGATACTTCAGGACGACAACACCAGACCTCACGGCGCTCAAATGGTGGATGATTTCCTGCAGCAGAAGCACGTGATCAGGCTTCACTGGCCAGTCCGATCACAGGACTTTAGTCCCATTGAAAACTTGTGGGATGCTGTTGGCGCCGAGTAAGAGACCATCAGCCACCCCAAACAATGTGGATGAACTCTTTAATATTTGGGACCAAGAACGGCGAGCCATTCCACAACTGACATTGCGAACACTTATTCAGCCAATGAGACAAAGATCATCATCATTGCCTTTCTCACCCTGCACCAGGGTATAGGCAATGAACAAACACATTCCACCTTTCTCTATCCTGGGCTAGCCTCTTGATGTTATTCCATGTGTTCCCACTTTTCTGTACATTGATTTCTGTGGTTCTTCTCCAGGTTCCACGTGGTCTTCCACTTGGTGGCGGAGGTCAGGGAACGGATATCGGAGTAGGCTCTATGATGGCAACAGGTAAAGAAGGCATGGAAGGAGGGACGACGGAGAGCTTCAGATGTTTGCAGTTCCGGTGGTAAGCCCTATCCCCAGACTGTATGATGTAAGACCTCGGAGCACACCGTTCTTTGACAACCGCAGGGCCACGCAACTCCTTGTCGTTCTCCAGCTTCTGCAGGACGAGCTGACCAGGGTTCAGCTCCGGGAGGTTCTGGGCAACGTGGCGTCTGTCAAAAGCGTATTTGTACTTACGCTTCGACTCAGCGTCTCTGGCTGCAAACTTGGTCTGTCGTAGACCAGCTGGTTCAGGTTTGAAGGTAGAGTTGGGAGGGTCGTCCTCGGTCGTCGCCCAAGAGCTAGTTCCGCTGGGCTCGTCCCCCGTCGGTGACACGGGTGCAGACCTGTAGATCAGGAGGGCGAGAAATGGGTCGTCCTGACTGAGTGCTTTCTTCGCCTCCTCGACTGCTCTCACGGACTCGCCGTAGCTCTAGGGAAAATGGGGGCTGCTGGTCGTGTGTTAAAAGCCTCAGCCCTTGGCGAACTTGTGGAAGCGGTCTGACACAAACTGGGGACCGTTGTCGGTCTCCAGTAGTTCTGGAAAGCCAAACCGAACGAAGATGTTTTTCAGTTTGTACACAACAGTCTCTGAGCTGATGTCTGGCATGTAGGCCACCTCCAAGTACCATGAGAAGTAGTCCACGAGTACCAGTTAGTCATGTCCCTTGTAGATGCACAGATAAGCCTCAACCATTTGGAAAGACCTCTCAGGTCGAGCTGTCGGGTTTAGAGGTTCACTCGGTTTTACTGGACGTTTCTGCTGGCAATTGTCACATCTTGAGACGACTTCCCGTATCTCGGAGCTGAGACCAGGCCACCAAATTGAAAATTTAGCTCGTTCTCGACACTTCGACTCTCCGAGGTGACGGTCGTGGATCCTGCTGAGCATCTCTCCTCGCATTGCCTTGGGGATAACGATGCAGTTGTCTCTGACTAGTAGTCCATGGACTTCGCTCAGTTCACTGGAGACTGCGTAGAGGTCGCAAGCTCCGGACCTGACGTTTTGGATGAATTTCGGCCTACCGCTTCTGGTGTACTGTATCACAGCACTGATTGCTGGATCCTGTTGAGACTTGTTTCTGATTTCGTCAAGTTTGCTACCCGTGGCATCCCAAGACATCTGGATTGTAGCGACATGAGCCTTGATTTCTTCACCAAATTCTTCAGGCTCAGTGCTCACTACAGGACTTCGGGACAAGGAGTCTGCGACAGTCATGGTTTTCCCTTGGGTGTATTCTGCCTTTCCGAAGTAACGCATAATCCGCATCAGCATCCATTGGCAGCTGACAGGTGCATCATTCAGTTCCTTAGAGTTTATCAGGGGCACAATGGGCTTGTGGTCGGTGAGCAATGTGAATGACGGCAGCCCGATGAGGTATCGATCGAACTTTCTGCACGCCCAGGTGGCCGCCAGCAGTTCCGTTTCAATCTGAGCGTAGTTCCTCTCGGCCCTAGATAAAGTTCTGGAACGGTAGGCCACTGGCTGAAGATCACCCCTGCCCTCCATGAGGAGAACAGCAACTAGGCCGTAGCTGCTTGCGTCAGTGCTTACAATGACAGGCTCCCTCATGTCGAAAAAGGCGAGTGTTGGAGCTGGTGACTGCAACTTCTTGACTGAGTGAAAGCAAATGACTGCGCTGGAGTCCAGGCCCACTCAGCATTGTGGTTCAGAAGATGGTTGAGCGGCTTCATGACTGTTGCCAGATTTGGCACAAACCTGCTCAAACTTGCACTTAGATTTGTTCAACTTGACCCCATGCTCCTTTAGCCGCTGATAGACTTTCTTCTTCAGTTCATCGTGTTCCTCCAGACCATCCGTGTGCCGGAGGATGTCGCCCATAAAGCACTCAACACCATCTATGCCCAATAGAATGTCTTGCATCGAATGCTGAAATATCTCAGGCGCAGAGGTGATTCCAAAGCAGAGACGTCTGTAGAAGTACCGGCCGAACGGGGTAATGAAAGTGGTCAGCTTCGCGGAGTCGTCGTCCAGTGTCAACTGCCAAAAGGAAGAAGTTGCATCAAGCCTGTTTGATCCACTGAGTTTGTACAGGATTTCGTCTAAGGTGGGCAGCACGAATCGTTCTTGCTTCACCGACAGATTCAGCTTTTTCAGATCTGAGCAGATTCTAACGTTACCAGACCTTTTTCTGACCGGGACCATGGGCGCGCACCAGTCAGTTGGAACGCTGATTTTCTCAATGACACCTTGCGGTCTAGTTCAGCCTTGACTTCGTCCATGAGTGGAATGGGAATCTGACGTGCGACGTTCACGGAATATAGCAGTGCATCTTCTTTCAAGGTGATTTTTATTGGCTCGGAGCATATAGGTTCAAGTCCCACATCGTCAAACACGAGGTTGGCGGAATCCATTCTGTCTCTATAAATCAGTCACAGACGAACTGCGGTGTTACGACTGAGAAGAAAGTCGGTGTCGTCGTCAAGGACGAAAACACAGAACGCAAATTTTCGATTATGCTGCGTAGTCGCGATAAATTCTCTCACTTTCCTTATGACTCCCCCAGGACTACGAAGAACTGCAGACGTTGTTTTCAGCTTTGGACGAAGACTGAGACGGTTGTAGTCGGCCTTCGACATTATCGAAACATCGGCCCCTGTGTCTATCTTGAAAAATGTAGCTCTCCCTCCAAGGTTCAGTTTAACGCGCCATGGTGGCTCGTTGACTTCGCCGAAGTTCACATCAGGAACGACATAACTGTCCGAGTTTTTGTCAACAGCACCTAAACAGAACGAATGAGTTTCCGATTCAAAGATTTCGTTGATAGTGTGGCTGCTGCTGCGACAGACTGTTTCTAAATTATGATTGCGCTTCCGCATTTTTTTCACGTTTTCCCACGCGTTGGGCAATTTTTTTGGGCATGACCTCTTCCACAGTTGCTGCAGTTAGAGGACGTTGACGGTGATGCATGGCTGCCTCTATGTTGTGAGTGTGTACCTGTTCTTCGGCCGCCTCTGTCCCTTGGGAGAGCAGACGACGAATATCCCCTCTGGCGTAACGAAATGCATCTACTGTTATTGCTGTACCTAGCTGACGTTGACAGCTGACCTGGCCCTTCACGAGCTCGAAAGAGCTCGAAATGGCGTGCTGTATCGATGGCTGATTTCAAAGTGACAGTTGCCTCGAGTTGTAAGCGCTGTGACAGTTCATTGTCCAGTACTCCTAGGACGAGTCTATCCCTAATGGTTTCATCTCGGTCCTTAAAGGCTGCATGTTCTGAAAGCTCGTACATGGCTCTGACATATTCTTCTATTGTCTCCCCACTGTTTTGTGTTTGTGCTTGAAACTTTGCTCTTTCGTGGATAATATTCCACTTGGGGACAAAGTGAGCGTCGGAATTCTCTAAGACAGTGTCAAAGTTGTCCCTAGGATCGTTGCTGTCGACGGGAGCAGGGAACGTAAACGTGTTAAATATCTGTTCAGCTTGGCGTCCCATAGCTAAAACGAATGCTCTTACTTGGATTGCCCCGGTCGCTGCCCTCAGTGTGGTGGCTGTGCGGTATCGTAGCATACGCTGTCGCCCCTCGGGCCACTCGTGAGGTTTGGAAAAATCAAACGGTTCAGGAGGCTTGAAATGAGGCATTCTGACACTTGTGACACGTTATCCACTGACTTCTGACACCATGTAATGATAGTATACACACACGACTATAAACGGAAGGTACGAACACACACGACACCAAGCAATCTAAATGAGCCCCAGTGCTGTGTCTGACTTTTTATGTTGATCTCCAAAGTGAGTAACATTAACCAAAAGCCCATGGCATGCCGGGCGCTTACGTCCCGTGATTAAAAAGAGTAAGGTACGATACTGTGACTACCGTGACAGAAAGGGCATGTCATAAATCTCTTGACATCCTGAATAATTGTTCGATCACCCGGATCAACAAAACAACAGAGGCTGGCAGCTCACCAGATGTCACGCTAAGTGCAAGTGTCTGGAAGAGCAAATGTGGGTGATGAAGACCTCGGTGGTTCTGATCATTCTGCAATCATCATTGTTGTGAACAGTGCAACTAAACATCAATCAATCATTGCAAAGGCGCCGCGCTGGAGAAGCAACGGAGTGAACTGACCAGACTTTCGAAATGAGATTGAAAGCAGCAAAGATAACTTTTCGGAAACTGACGATCTGAATCTGGGAGTCCTACGTTTCCATGCCATCTTACTTGAAGCAGCTTATGCGCATGTCAGGAAGGTGAAGCCGTCCAAGAAATCACACTCTTGGATGACCCCTAAGTGTCGAGGACTGATCAAGAAAAGAAAAAAGCTAAGAAAAAATATCTCCGCACACAGGGTGGAATGGTTGCAAGCTTGTAAAGATGTTACAGAAGCAAAGACTGACCAGTGGAAGGAGGTAGTTAATGGCGTGATAAATGATCTGGACCAAAGGAAAACTTGGAGCTTCATCAAGTCTCTAAATGGATCACCAGAAACCAACCCCCCCAACGAAGCAAGATGCAAAAATCAATACGCTCCAATTTACACACGAGGAGCGCAGAAGAAACAAACTTCGATAGAAGCGCCTACTGTATGACGATGTGAACAGCAAAGGCGAACAACAATCATACCCAGACTCCATCATGAAAGAGGGGGAACGGGCCATAACACACATGAAGAGAAGAAGTGCTCCAGGACCTGATGATATACCACCATCTTTCCTAAAAGAGCTTGGCCCACTGGCATTGAACGAATTGCTCAGCATATGTAATATGTCGTTTTAACAAGCAGTGCACCGACCAGATCATCAGAATCTGTTAAGGAATTAAGGATGGTTTTCAGCAAAAGCCAACATTCCATCAATCAGTCCTAGTCCTGCTGTACTACTCCAAGGCATATGATACGGTTTGGCGTGAAAGACTATTACTGTCAATGGCTGACAAGGGAGGTCCGCGGCGTACAATCAGATGGATCCATGGTTTCCTGAGAAACAGACAAGCCTGTGTTCGCCTGAATGGAGAAACAGGCAAGAGCCAGAATTTCAAGCAAGGGCTTCCCCAAGGAGCTGTAATATCCCTGCTGCTGTTTATATTCTTCATAAACAACCTTGCATAATCTCTCCCAAGCCTCACAACAACTAACCTCCGCCAAGCTGATCTACTCCATGTTCGCCGATGACTGCACAATATTGGCCAGTCACACAAAAAGGGAAAAGGCAAATGAAGCGATGCAGTTGAATGTGGACATGGTTGTGAAATGGAGCAATGAATGAAAACTTACCTTGAATGCAACCAACAGTGATGTGTGCTTCTTCTCAACATGGGTGAAGGAGGCAATATGGCAACCAATAATTCAGATCGAAGGGAAAAATATACAATTCAACCCGCTCCACGCCTTCTGGGCGTCTATCTGGGTAGACAGCTAACCTTCAACAAGCACATTGAGAAAGTGTCCAAAAGTGCAACCTCAAAAATGAAGGTGATCAGTTCTGTCAGCAACTCAAAATGGGGCTGGGGTAAGGAGTCGCTCAAGAAGGTATGTCAAATGTTTGTGAAAAGCAAGATGGATTATGCTGTCCCAGCGTGGCAGCCTTGGCTGAGTGAGACCAGTGCAAAGGCCGTGGATAGAATAGAAAACAAAGCCCTCCGCCTTGTATCAGGTCAGCTGAAAACAACACCTACAGAATCGCTGCATTATGAAACCAGAACTGAGCACTACACCACCTACACAAAAAGAACATGCCTCAAGTCTGTAGAGATGACTAAGAGATTGCCAGACAACCATCCTAGAAAAAAGCCCTTGATCAAGAAGTCAAGCCTAAAACAGCAGGAAAAGTTTATTAAGGATGGGCACCGATCAAGCTGACCACCTCCCTCTGAAGCAGAGAATCGATGGCCAATCAATCTGGAGAGAGCCTGTCCTTGGCAGACCCATGGCGAAATCGAAATCCAGACAGAACTGAGAGGAGTGAAGAGCAAAAGTGATAATCCCGTAAAGGCACGTGAAGCTGCTGAGGATGTGATCAAAGAAGTTGGTGCTGATGTGACAATTTTCACTGATGGTTCGACTGTTGCAGGATACCGCAAAAGTGAAGCAGCAGCAGCAGTGGTGAACCACTACTAAGAGAAATCATTAAAACTAAAGGTGCATTCCTTACATCATCTTATGACAAGGAATGCCAAGCAATTATGTCTGCTGCTCAATGGATTACTGACAATTGCCTCAGTAGAAACAATGTGTTGATATTGGCTGACAGTCATTCCCTCTGCAAGGGACTGCTAGGCAAGACCTCAGACATAAATTATTTGCGCCGCAAGTTCAGTGAAGACACAGCCACAATAAAAATCCAGTGGATTCAATGCCATTTTGGAATCGAAGGAAATGAGGCAGCAGACCAAGCTGCCAACAAAACCAGAGAGATTGAGGGAGACAGAAGACCAACAACATACAGAGGGTTTTTTTCCAATGATCAAGAGGGAAATCAGATCCCACCATACAGAACCTGGAAGATGTGTATTCTGGGTACTCCAATAAGCAGGAACAAAGTATCAAATGTCGCTGGGACCAGGTTGAGCTAGTGAGATTGCAGTCGGACCATCATGGGAGCTTGGGATGATGTAAGAACTTTGTAAATGAAGAGCTCAGCCCACGTTGCCGAAGATGCAGCCATTAAAGAGAGGATGTCAAACACATGTTTGAATGGCCAGGAACAATGGCAATTCGAATGGAATTATTTGGACGAGTGGAGGTGCCTCTAAGAATATTGACAATGGAGCCGAAAAAGAGCCTCGCTCTCGCTTAAAGATTTCTTCGTGGAGTCCACCAGGCCCATTAGGGAAAGAAAAAAAAATCATCATTATCATCATTCATGTTACGTATCATCATCATTTTCATCATCATCATCATTATCGTTCGTGTTATGTTTCATCATCATCATCATCATCATCATCATCATCATCATCATCATCATCATCATCATCATCATCATCATCATCATCATAATTATTATTATTATTATTACTATTATTATTATTATTATTATTATTATTATTATTATTATTATTATTATTATTATTATTATTATTACTATTAGTATTATTACTATTATCACTATTGTTATTACCATTATTATCATCGTTATTATAATCATCATTATCATCACTATTATCATTATTATTAATGTTGTTCGTGGTTGTAGTGGTGGT